GGGGGGGGCGTGGGGGGGGGGGGGGGGGGGGGGAGCCTGCCCCCCCCCCCGACAAAAAACATCCTGTGGGAAACTGTGGGGGGAGGCTGGATCCAGAGGGGGGAGGCCCCCACTTTCCTGTCTTCATTTCAGATAAAAAGGTAAAGGTTCCCTTGCTCGAAAGCCAGTCGAATCCGACTCTAGGGTTGCGGTGCTCATCTCCCGTTTCAAAGCCGAAGAGCCAGCGCTGTCCGAAGACGTTTCTGTGGTCATGTGGCCGGCATGACTAAACACCAAGGCTCACCGAACGCTGTTACCACCGAAGTGGGAAGTTTTCAGATAGCTGACCTTAAAAAAGGATACAGAGCTCTGGCTGGAGGTGGGATGTGTCTCTGAAAATATAATTAAGACTAGCAGCAGACCAGGGTATTAAAAGTAAGGGAGCCAAAAAAACTCTCCCCTCTTGTACTTTTGAACACAGAAAGAAGTTTTTTGCAGTCACTGTGCTTTACTGCAAAATCCAAAACCAGCAACACAGTCCAAGAGATAGCTTTTATGAAGAACCAACCAGCACGACACAAAAGAGTGCACAAGTTTTGTTCCCCAGAACTCTAAATCAGACTGGATGTAACAAAAAAAGAATTGAGTGGGGGGGGGAGCCAGGTAATTGATCTTAAGAACTGGAATTGCCAGCATCCTCCACAAAGTGCTGAACAGGCAGGCAGATTTAAAATGCTGCTTGTATTAAGTTGCCCTACAGGCTTCAGGGAGCAAGAAGCAACAAATGATTTCTTCCCGTAGGCAATACAAGGGCCAGCTAATAGTCCCCAAACCAATCTTTTTAACACCAAGTCAGTTCACAGGTCCCTTGAAGGCTGAGATCTGGGTAGTGTCTCATATCTTTAAGCCTAGCTGTGGTTTATGCGGGTATGACAACAGGGTGCCATTTGAAATTCAGTGAGAGTTCCCCCATTCAGGTTTTGAAAACCCACACAAGAGCCTTCGGGATTCGCCCACCCTGGCTAAGCCACTCTCTGATCAGTGAAGTAGTTGTAGCCTCCATGAATGATCAAAATGATTCTTTTTATCATTCATGGAGGGGCTGTGGCTCTTGTAGAGCATCTGCTTGGCATGCAGAATGTCCCAGGTTCAATCCCCGGTATCTCCAGTTAAAAGATCTGGCAGTAGGTGATGTGAAAGATCTTTTTCTTTCCTGAAACCCTGGAGAGCCGCTGCCAGTCTGAGTAGACAGCGCTGACTTTGATGGACCAAGGGTCTGATTCACCATAAGACAGTGCCATTTGTTCAAGTGCCCATTCTTGCTCTTGTCCATTCCAACAACATGGTGTTTACTTCCCCTCTCCCTCACAACATGGTGTTTACTTCCCTTCTCCCTTGGTGCTTGGGGGGGGGGGGCAACAGTGGGAGGGCTTCTAGTGTCCTGGCCCCACTGCTGGACCTCCTGATGGCACCTGGTATTTTTGGCCACTGTGTGGACAGAGTGTTGGACTAGATGGGCCATTGGCCTGATCCAGCATTGTCTTCTCTTATGTTCTTATGTCAGGCTGTCTTTAATAAATCAGTGGATAGCTCCTGGGGTTGATCTGCTTGGCTCACAGAAACTCTATGTGGCATCCTCTCCCCTGCTGTTATTCCTTATTCTTCTAATTTATTATTTATACCCTGCCTTTCTCCCCAGTGGGAGCCCAAAGGGGTTAATATTGAGCTCCTCTCCTTCATTTTATCCTCACAACAACCCTGTGAGGTAGATTAGGGTGAGAGTGTGTGACTGGTCCAAGGTCACCCACTGAGCTTCCATGGCGGAAGCTGGGATTCCAACTTGGGTCTCAGTGCTTCAGTCAGGGAGGGAGGTGACTGACTGGCCCAGGGCCCCCCCCCCAACATGGTGTCAGGGGGTTCTGTGGTACCTACCAACATGTTGCCTGGTGCCAACTTGCTTCTTTCCCAAAGTAAAGAGCCAGCCCTAGCTTTTCTCCATTTCACTGGAGTAGGCGGTCCTTCAGAAGCGCTCAGCAGGCATCACCTTTGCATTTGCAGGCAGCACCCATTTGGATGCAGCCATGTGCATCATAGAATGCTTGGCTTGGAATTACCCAGCATTATGTGATTGGATCTCCACCCCTGTGGCTGCCATTTTATTGTGTCATTAGTCCTTGTTCTCAAAATTCTGAAAGTACCCACAGGCGCACCAAGGTTGGGTGCCACCAAATTTAGCCATTGTGTTGTCCTAAACTAGGGGTGTCAAACATAAAGCCCGGGGGCCGGAACAGGCCCGGCCAGGGCTCTTATGCGGCCCGCGAGCAACTGGTGCAAGGGAGGGAGTACTGGAGGGAGTGTGTGGAGCCACTCCATTGTGGCTTCAGCACAGCAGAACAGCCTCATCAGCAGTCAAGCGGTGTGGGAGCATCTGCCCAGCACTGTTCTGGTGCCTCTCCAGTCTGCCTCTGTGGGTTTTCCTCTGCACCCCCCCTCCCAGCCCATGGGGGCCTTGCAGTGAGGATACACCAACTTGGAGCTTACCTGCTGCTGTCCGTTATACAGTTTCTATCTCCCGTACCTGTCATTATGTTTTATGGCATGCAGGGCTCAGCCCAACAAAATGACATGTCAGATCTGGCCCTCGTAACAAATGAGTTTGACACCTCTGTACTAAACAGTCTTCTCATATAGGCTTAGCCCCACATGACTTTCCTAACTGAATGAAGCCATTTGAGGGCAGCTGCTTGGCCTGTCACCCAGGCTAAGGCTAGCCCGTTCTCATCAGATCTCGGAAGCTAAGCAGGGTCAGCCCTGGTTAGTATTTGCCTGAGAGACCACCAAGGAAGCCCTAGGTTGCTGCGCAGGGATAGGCAGTGGCAAGGCCACCTCTGGAGAGCCATTGCCAGTCAGAGCAAACAGCACTGAGCTAGACGGACAAATGGTCTAAGTCAATATCAAGGCAGATTCATATTTTTCAGATCTACGCAGTACTTTGGCAGGGTCGGCCCAAGGGTTTTTTGGTGCTCTAGTTGGCCCTTGACTTTGCTGTCTCCCCCCCCCACACACACACTGTGCACCTAGGAACATGCAGAGCTGGGCAGGCAAGGAGCTACTGCCGCCACTGGGCACCTTGAAGCCGGCAGCCGTCTTGTCTTCCTCCCACCCTCCTTCCGTCCGTCAAGGTTGTGGGGCCAGGGGCAGGAGAAAGCAGTCTGGGTGAGCACAGCCTGATATTCCCTGCCACAACTGATCATGTGGTGCACCTGGAGCAAGTGGCACTACCTGGGGCTGCCACTTGGCGCAGCTAATCCTCTCTTTGGGGGCACCTCATCACCCTGGCACCTTAGGCAGTTGCCTAGGTCCGTCTAATGGATGAGCCGGCTCTGTTCCTTCTTATTGTAAATTGCAGTTATGGCAAACCTTGGTTGGCATTAAACCTGAAATTGAAATGCGTTTTGTAGTGGCATTCTAAGCAGAGTTATACCCCCTTCTAAACCCATTGACTTCAATGGATTTAGAAGAATGGAACTCTGCTTAGGATGGCACTGAGAGGCCCTGGGGTAAGAGGAGCCCCAGTTGATCCCGATACTGGTGCCAAATAACTGCTCAGCCATGTAATGTGGATTGTTGTTTCCAATTTGGTAGCCAGTCAGTTTGCACTGATTTCAAACACTGAAAGTGTGTTTTTGACATAAACAGAAGTAGGTAGCTTAGGGGGAGAAAAGGCTTTCAGTCAAGACAGGGCAGTGCCTAGGAAGCAGGATCCAAGTCAGTTCTGTCCATGGAAATATTTTAAAATGTAGAGACTTTATTAGTCATTTTGATGCTTTCCCCCCAACTCTAAATTTTCACCAGGGTGGTTATTGTTTGTAAAAAAAATTGAATCTCTATACATAGTAAGCTGGAAAGGTTTAATAATAGGGGATGCTGTCCTGGTAGTAACACAGTTCCTGCTCTATCAGGGCTGTGTTTCAGTCCTGAAGTTTCTAGTTTCTGTGGGAAGAGGCACACCCTTGTCTGAGGAATTTGTGACATGTTTATGTTAGGCAATTTGTGCACTGAAATGAATCAGCCACTCTTTAGGCCAAACCCCAAGACCGACAGACAGAAGTGAACATGAAAAGAGTTCTTCAGGTAACAGTGAATCCTGACCACCAATCAGTGAGAGATCCGCCGTTTTAATTTTCTGTCCCTGATTGCCAAGAAGAATTTCCTACTCATAACGACTGTGCAATTTCATTTAAAAACTTTCAAGACAGAACCTTTTGAGTCATTTTACAAAAGTCAAGTGTTTAAAAATAAGTGGTTCCAAAGTGAAGAGCTTCTTTCTCTGTTTTCGTAGTTGTCCAGATCTGTGTATACAAGTGCAT